TCGCCTATGGCGCGCTCATGGCCGTGTACGTGGCCAAACTGCGGCGTAAGGAGACGAGATTCGGGTGCGTATGGACCAGGGTCTTATAATCGTATCGGTATTTTCATGATTGTTTTTGTTTGTGATTTAATTCCGTTCGCTCTAATTAGTTTTTAGAGTTTTTGTTCTTTGAAAATGTTTCATTTTAGTCTTAGTTTTGGTTTTTTTTGTTAATATATGAATGAAAATGAATTGAGTATTAGTAAAAGGAAAATTGGCCCATTCTATAGACATGGCATTACTTTTTTCCTGTTTTTTTTTTTTTAACACCCAGTTTTTCCTGTGGTAATGTGTTATTGTGGTTGTTTTTTAGTGATGCGTTTGAGCCCATGATGCACAGCGGAGAGCTGGTGGTCCGCTACCGGGCGCGACGCTCGTACAGCCGCAGGACTACTGAGGCCACGTGTAAGTTTTGACAACCTGGGAATATTGGGACGCAAACACGCTAACACAATCTGTTATGCTGCTAGCGTTACTGGAAAGCAACAATTTTGTAGGTTTTCATAGGAAATATGTGATGACCATAGAAACAGAAATTAATCTTACCGTAGTTTCTTGTGTGGATTTTTTAAAATTTGTTTTTGGCAACAACATTCATAAAAAAATCAAGGGTGTGTATTATGCATAGGCACAAAGAAAAAGCCCCAAATCTGTTTTAAAATGAACTGTTAACGGTTCTTGTGGATAAAAACAATTGCCCAAAGAGGGACAAATTCAGCACTTTTTTTTTTCCTGTGTGCTTATTGAAAATAAGAAATGGCAAGGACGTTACATGTTAACGTTAACTGATTAAAAAAATTTAAGAAGTGAAAGAAATTCATTTCATCTGCATGTGCACAGGGCAGAATATTTAATTGAAAAATACAATAAAATACATATTAAGATGCAGATAACAGTTTTTGGAGCATGAGTACGAATAAGTCTGGAAAATCCTGCGGGAAAATTGCGATTTTAGGGGTGTGTATTGTACACATGAGAAAACTGCCACGACGACCTGACTTATAGTTTATACAACAGTACTAATTTGTGATCTCATGAATGCTGTAGACTGTGTAGAGTTTCCAAGAATTCTCACCTGTCCACTAGTCACAACACGAAGTCGATCCATGTTGGCATCTAGACGTCTCGCACAGATGGGAATCCGACTGATCTCAATGCTTATTTTGATGTTTAGTCTTGTGCCGTGATGTGGACGCTTATCATCTGCAGGAATCTGGCCTGGAAAAACAAATTCTTGTGTTACTACAAACACAATTCCAGGACGTCTCTCAATGATCACACACGCGCACGCACACACGCGCACACACACACACACACACACACACACACACACACACACACACACACACACACACACACACATATATATACATACATACATACATACATACATACATACATACATACATACATACATACATACATACATACATACATACATACACACACCTGCCTGGGTGACCGTAATTACGGCGACTTGGTTTACAAGTCCCAGCTTGCCCCAAAACGTTTCCCACAGATGAAGATGCGGTAAAGGAACGTCCCAGCAGCATTCTTGCCGATGTTTGGGTCCCGCCTCTCCAGACAAAGTGCTGTGGTGCACCTTGGGCAAGGATCCATATTTGATCATGTCAAATGCCACATGAAATATAGGCCTTGACATTTTGTAAAAAAACAATTAGCAAAAGAAGGGAGTCATTCATCCGTTATCCATTTTCTAATCTGCTTTATCCTCACGAGGGTCGCGCTGGAGCCTATCCCAGCCGTCTTCGGGCAGTTGGCGGGGGACACCCTGAACTGGCTGCCAGCCAATCGCAGGGCACACATCGACGAACATTCACGCTCACAATCACACCAAGGGACAATTTCGAGTGTTAACCTGCCGCGCATGTTTTTGGAATGTATGAGGAAACCGGAGTACACCCAGAGAAAACCCACGCAGGCACAGGAAGAACATGCAAACGCCACACCCAGGAAGGCCAGGGCCTGGAATCGAATCCATGACCTCTGTGCTGGAAGGGAGTAATAATCATGAAAAAAAACCCCAAAACTATTTAATAATATGATTGATTTATTGTCTAATCTATTGCAATAATAGATCGTATAATACAATACAATAATCTGTTTTCAACAACCGCTTTAATACTACCCTAAATAATAATGTGACATATTATTTGGAAACATGCTAAAATATTATTACTTGAAGAAATAAGAATATAAAACAAGCAACAAATAAAACAAAATGTAACAACAGTATCTGGCAGCATAATAAAATATACTATTTACACATGTATAAATATTGAGTGTGATAAGAATTATATATAGTCTTGTTCTTTAAAAATGATCCAATAGAATTACAGATCATTTTATATCGATCATTGTCATCCATAATTTGAAACTTCAAAAGACAAAATGTTGAACGACAAGCTATTAAAAAAAAAAAAAAGCTCATGTTCTAGTTGGACAGACGTCTGCTTGAATGTTTTTTTTTGTACATCCTGGCACTTCCTGCAAGCTTTAATGTCAATTTTTTATTTTTTATTTTTTTTGCTTTTATACTGGTGTAGTTCTACATTTTTGGGGATTGTTGTTGCACTACTAATATTCTTGTACTTTTTAAATGCATTGCTGCTTTACAACGGCATCTTATTTCTCCATGTTAATGCTTTAATTACATCACGTGTGCGCGTATCATCACGAGACGTTTTTGAATTTTTTTCTTTGGTGCCCACTCAGTGAACAGTCTGGGCATCAGCGACGAGCTGAGGCAGAAGCTCCAAGACGTGATGGTGGACAGACACAAGCTGACGCTGGGCAAGACGCTGGGAGAAGGTACAAAAATTAGCATTCTGCTATCTCATTGCAGCACTTGTTATCACAACAACTGAATTTGAGCGTGAATCAGCTCGGTGGGCCCATTTGAAAAAAAAAATACTTTAAGGGCCACGCATTGTTTTTTTAAAAATAGACAAATGGGTCAGATTGTTGATAGAACGCCGTGTGGTAATTTCGTGCACTTTCGATCCTTGTTGGTGATGTGTCTTACAGGGGAGTTCGGCTCCGTGATGGAGGGTCAGCGATTTCGTGCACTTTCGATCCTTGTTGGTGATGTGTTGCGTATCTTTACAGGGGAGTTCGGCTCCGTGATGGAGGGTCAGCTAACCCAGGAGGATTCTGTTCTCCGAGTAGCCGTCAAGACCATGAAGAGTGAGTGGAGGACCACTTTACACCATTCATAACTTTAATATTATACTAATATCCAGTAATACCCCCAAATCACACTTTTCTACTCTTTCTTTAACACCCACCAGCTGATCGGAAAGTAGTAGTTGGTGTCAAGTAAGTGACATATCCCAACAGCACCCTTTTGTGTTGTTGTCCTCACACTTAGGTGCATTTTTTTAAATAATCTGTCTTTGCACCTATGCATCCATACAAACATACATAGTCAAATAAATCTGCGTATAGTTGACGCCCTTTGAAATGCATTGTGGGTAACAAAGATTCAATCTGCAAATATATGTGGTGTCGACCGTCTTATCGAAATCATTTTAACATCGTAACTATCGAATTAGCGATTATCGGGAAGAAGCTAAGTTTAGCCGAGGTTGTTAGCGGATGTTTGAAAGTTTGGGGTGGAATAAGCCCCATTCCTTTTTCCCGGTGGCGGTTTCAGCCTGGCGCCAGCGATTATTAACAGTGGAAAGTCCGGCAATTGGGTTGATGTTGGAGCGTAGCAGCCAACGTTCTATCGGAGCACGTCAATAAATGCTGACTTGTGGCTCTCGCCCCAGTCGCCATCTGCACGCGTTCGGAAATGGAGGACTTTCTGCGAGAGGCCACCTGCATGAAGGAGTTTGACCACGCCAACGTCATGAGGCTGCTCGGTGAGACGCCGCCTCTTTTTGCACACCGGCAGATGCTGGCGGATGAATTTCTTACAAATTGCTTGGAGAAAAAAATCACATCATTTCATTCTTTTTCGTCATTGCCTTTAGATTTCTCACATGAATATTTTTATTTGAGGTAATATCGATTAGAATCGAAACTACATTTTATTTATTGTTATTTTTCTCTAATGTAATGTTTTTTATTGTTTATAAAATAAAACCCATAATAATCCAACTGCACATAGCAGTTGATATGATTATAATTCAGAAATATGATTTGATATTTTGTTATTTATCTACAGTATGCATTTCAATCTCTTCAAAAAAGCTAAATCATTATGCAGGTAAAATGTTTTTAAGTTACCATATTAGACAAAATGATTGTTTATATTTTCGAATATTTTACATGCATTTTATAATGCAATATTTTGATTGCTTATACAGTAAAATATAATGAGAAATGCAAAGTATTAAATGAAATAATTCAGATTTTTATTTTGGCTTTCTTTTTCTGCCCATTTTATATTAATTTTATGTGTGATTTAAAATATGTTCATAAATTATAACACTACAAGCTATATATAATTTTAAATACAGTATGTATTTTTGGTTTGCAAGTTGTCATCATATTCTTAATAAAATACCGTCTGAACAAAAATGTATTTTAAAATAAAAATTGCCTACATCAGGGGTGTCCAAACTTAAAAAAAACATGTTTTTTTTAATCACAATCTTTGGCCGGGCGCAGGATTTCTCTGCGTGTTCAACATGGGTTAAAATTGGCCACCGACAGGGTCCTCTGGTATGTTGACGTGGCGTGTCTTCGCACAGGCGTGTGTCTGCAGACGGTGGAGAGTGAAGGCTTCCCGTCGCCCGTGGTCATCCTGCCCTACATGAAACATGGCGACCTGCACACGTACCTGCTCTACTCGCGCCTCGGAGACTGTCCCGTGGTGAGTGATGCGAAAAACACATTTTGTTAACCATTGACATTTTATGGCGACGGGAGGGGTGGGGGGGCTGTGGATGCCTGTTGCCCCCCCCCCCTCCCTCCCCCCCCCCCCCTATGTTACCTTCCATCCCCCACACCCCATATGTTACTGGTCACCAAAAATAAACAGGTTTTTATTTTATATTTTGGTTATTTTTTTGGTTTTTGGTTTCTGGTACTTTTCTGGACAAAACAAAAACTTTTTGCAAGCACAGCAAGCTTCATGTGAATATATTTGATTGCATTGCATGTTGTAAATTTTGTAAATTGCATTTGTACTTAACTCATTCAGTACCAGCCAATTCTGGACCAAGTCTCAAAAGACGTTGAAAAACGTCTTTGGGAGTGAATGAGTTAATTCGGTGATTATTTCACATACTGGAAGCATCACTTGAGAATGACTGGTGCAAATCAACGCCAGTCTGCGGTTGTAGTTGGAAAAAAAAACCCTCAAAAACTTTGTCTTAAAATATGACCAGGGTCATTATTTTATGAGGGTGACCATGTACTTCCTTTTGAAATGAAAAACTGAACACAGGTAAAGACATGTTAGGCCAACACGTTTTCAATTTTGTCTGTGCGGTGTGGCGCAGTACCTCCCGTCCCAGATGTTGGTGCGCTTCATGACGGACATCGCCCGCGGCATGGAATACCTCAGCAACAAGAACTTCATCCACAGAGACCTGGCCGCGCGTAACTGCATGTACGCTGCTCCTCATCCGCTTCCTGTCTGAGGTCACTGTGGGTCAGTGGGCTCATTAGGGTCAGGTGTCATCAAAAAAATCTTACAATTGAATGTGACAAGATATCACACAAGATTTGTCGATTTCACACTCATACTGACCATTGTTTGCTGTGTCACCAATGGCACCGAGCGGAATTTAGACGGTCTTGTTTGTCCTTGAAAATATTTTCAACTGCTTAGCGCATGTTGACCGTAAGCAGGTGTGTCAGCTCCGGTCCTCGAGGGCCGCTGACCTTCCCTGTTTTCAAAGTTTCCCATCTGCAACACACTTGACTCAGCTGATCAGCAAGCTGTGAAAAAGCCTGAAAACAAACGATGTCATCACAACGCATATTCTCCCAACATTTTCCACTGACAACCCAGGCTAGACTTATCTCCCCCCAAATACAAAGATTTCAGTCTCTGAGTCGAAATGCATCACATACTTCCTTGACACCATTTACTACTTTCCTATTAGCTATTTTGTGGCATCTTCATGCGTTAAAGAGAAGAATGATCAGCAAAAGTTGAGAATCTATTCCACAGAAAAATGGCGAGGAGGCGGGGCTTCACTGTATCCATTCCTAAAGAATCATCCCAAATGGTGTGTTCCAGGCTGAACGAGAACATGAACGTGTGCGTGGCCGACTTCGGCCTCTCCAAGAAGATCTACAATGGCGACTACTACCGGCAGGGGCGCATCTCCAAGATGCCCGTCAAGTGGATCGCCATCGAGAGCTTGGCCGACCGAGTCTACACCACCAAGAGCGACGTGGTCGGTTCCGTTCATGCGTGACGTCTCCTTGTCACGCTCTTCGCTCAAACTTGACGCCGTCTTCTTCTTGTTGCCGCTCAGTGGTCATTTGGCGTCACCATGTGGGAAATCGCCACCAGGGGGCAGACGCCGTACCCCGGGGTGGAGAACAGCGAGATCTACGATTATTTGAGACAGGGAAACCGTCTCAAGCAGCCTCCAGACTGCCTGGATAACATGTGAGTGCTAGTTTCTAAACGCACAATTTAAAAATACATTTTGGAGCTAGCTGGCTATTTACTGCCTTTAGAGTAGAGCTGCACAATCATCGAATTTAATGGCGCTCGCTATTTTGCCCGATACAATTAAATGTATCTGCTCTTTGCTGCATACCGCATCGAATCAATCTTTTTCTCAACCTGTTGTCAGCCAACCACCAGGGGGCGAAAACCTGGTGAAGGCTTCATTCGAGATAACGGCATAACAGCTAAATGCTACTTCATCGTATTTGCTTTGAACGAGAGACGGCAGATTATTCTCTTGCCATTATTTCTTATGGATAAAATCAATTCATAATATGATCATCTTGAAATGTTGAACTAATATCGAGCATTCCTCCTCTTCCTCAGCTACGCTCTGATGTTCTCCTGCTGGTTGCTGAGTCCCAAAGATCGTCCACCCTTCGAGTCGCTTCGCTGCGAACTGGAAAAAGCCCTCGACGACCTGCCCGACACCCAGGACCCGGACGAGATCCTTTACGTCAACATGGAGGATTCCTCCATGGAACTGGGGGCCGTCGCTCCCTGGAGAGTCTGGACGCTCCCTTGCCTTTCTCGGCCGCCACTCTGCCCCTGCGCTATTCTCGACACGCCGCAACAGACGTGACTGGTGCGTCGACACCCGACATCACCCGGGCGGCCACGCCCGCCATGGTGCCGTTGGACGAACGCGAGTTGACCCATAAGGTCGGCTGGCAGTGATGAGCACAATAGGACTGAACCATACCCACTAAGTCAGGGAATGGAACCTCCTTATACTGTCTGTGTTTGCGAACAGTTTGCACACACACACACACACACACACACACACACACACACACACACACACACACACACACACACACACACACACACACGAAGGCATTCCACGATATACGTCATTGAAAAGAATGTATTGCCAATGTTATCTTCATTTTTAGTCAAAACACACAAGAAATTTATGCCAGTGTGTAGTTAGTGTCTCACCTAAAATATGGTTCGCCCTAATATTTTTTGGGGGGGTGGGGAATTTGGTACTCCTTTTTTCTTCCATTTTCCACATAATGTAGACTTACTTGAATGCATTCCAGGATGACTCCAGTGACTAGGATGCATCTCCAAAATTTTCTTTTTTTTTCCAAAACAACAAAAAGAACAACGTACCAGTACAAAGTATTTACTGTCCAGCCTGTAGCGTGCTAGTTTTTGTTGTTCTTAGCCAACAAAAACAAAAGAAACATCCCAAATGCAGTTTTTCCATTTTCCACACACACAAAACCCTGACGGCATTCCACTGCGCATAAAAAGCATGCATAACCAAAATTGGATAATTTTTCATTCGTCACCTTTTTTCTTGCATGTATCCACCGCAAAAACAAATAATTTGGAGTTAACATTGATTTTTCGTTTACACATATACGCGCGCTGTCCAACAAAAAGCATGTACCTCCGCAAATTTTCATTTTCTTGGCAGTTTACTTAAAAAGTAATAGCTCACAAAATGTGGCAATACTTGCTTTTCATTGGACAGTGATAAAATGAAGCAAAACCCATTTTCTCTTGTTCCCTTCTCCCTATTCCCCTAAAAGTTTGGTTGTGGACAATTTGGCATACGAATGCATCGCCACGGCAACTCCTACGGGCGAGGAAACTCCCCTCCACTGATGATCTCCCAAAACGGGAGAAATAGTAATATACAATAACACTGCCAGGACTCCTTAAAGCCTTTGCTCCGCAGAGGTACCAAACAGTCCAATGTCCGAATTATCTGAGGCGGACTTTAAAAAAAAAAATATATATATATATATTTTGTACGCTGATTGTTTTTCTACTTTTCCAACTTTGCACTAATGTCTTTTGTATACCCATGTGTACGTTTTTTTGTTTTTTTTACATGAACTCCATGTGATGGATGAGACCTTAAGAATTTTGTTTTTTTTTAATTTCAAGACGTCTGTTACGAGCAGCCGAAAACTCTTCACCAGCTGCCATCATCAATGCACTTATTTGACATGATACATGATGTACTGTACATATTGCCCACCATCTCCAGCTTCAGGTCCTAGTACGCTCTTTGTCTTCACTTCAACAGACTTACACCCTCCGCCGCCCCCATTACGAGTGCCACCTTTGGTAAGGCAATTAAACCCAAACAGTCAACTCCTCTGATGAACTACAACCACTTCTTGGCCCAACTGGGAGGCATGTGTCATGCACTCATAGCTGCTTTGATACTCCTAATTACTAGTATCCCAAATAGTTTCTATTAGTGTGCAGAAAAGTCATACAGCGGTGAAAAGCAAGTTGGGGGGGGGGGGGGGGTAATGAGTACGACACCACCGTTCCTTGGCAACATTTGACTAATACGCCAAATTGTCTTACTAGGGAGGACAAAGAGTATACTCGTACATGGACCTGAATCTGATATAGAGAATAGTGACAAAACCTTCTTAAGGATACTAGGAGCACTACATTACTAATGTAGTGTAGTGTAATGATACAAAAGTGCACTAGTTGACAGCTGTGCCTACGACTAACATTCTAAAATTATACTAGTTAACACCTACCGGGTCACTAGTATCGTAAGCAGTGCACAGATGTCAACTAGTTTTGCAAAAATGTCATCTAGTAGTCGAGTGAGGAAAAAACATTACGAGTAAGAGTTGTTCTCCTAGTAAGCTGCAAATTAAGGATATTGAAGAAAGTATTCTATAGTTGACTGAATTCCAGCCTGAACGAGGTCCATGAAAAGGTACTACGGTAGTGGGAGCTCTCGAGGTGAAATGTAATTTTTTGAAAAGATGAACTCAAGGCAAATTTCCCCCCCGTATTGTTTTCAATGACATTATGGTAACCCCTGTTGTTGAAATTGCCCTCGGGCTCGCATTGCCAATGTCACGGCTCACCTGTTTTCTGGGTTTGGTCACGCGATGTTGGCGATGCAAGTCCGAGGGCACTTTGATGTCACTTTCATCATTGGTGCAGAACAGAATGGCGGCAGCACCCTAAAATGAATGAAAATGGATGAATTTATCTGCTGAATTCTTATTCCACAAATGCAATGTTAATGAGAATATTGTGTTTCGATTCATGGGGTTCTCAAAATAATGTTTGTCTTGAGTTCGCCTTGAACAACGGTACTCTGCATTGATGCCTTCACCAGCGTTGTCCACTCCCATCTTGAATGTACAGTATAGCAAATATTCGTGTTCCCATTATGACCTGAATTCAGGAAGTGCCTTCACCGAGCCACTCTGATGCCTCCCGTCCACACATTGACTGAAAACAAAGGCCTTTATTTGTCATGCTTGGATGCTTTTTATCTCCATGGATGCTTTTTATCTCCAGTATTTTGTACAAAGAAAATAAATCTTTTGGTCTGATGTTGGTTGCCATGGAGATAGCGTACAAATGTGGTGCCGGGTGCAAACCAGGGATGCTTTCAGAAGTGAATGTAGGAAATCTGCACGTCGCCGGCCACCTCCAGCTTGTCGATCTCGTTGACGGCATGCGTGCGGTGAGTGTAATCGAACAGGGGCTGCCCGTTGAGGAACACCTTGAAGCGGTCGCTGCCGCAACGGATGGAAATCTTGACAAAAAGGAAAAGCAAAAACAGCGACTTATTTTGTAGAAAGCAGTGGCGTGTGGCATGTTTGGAACATGGGCCGAAACCACCTTTTGATAGCACCATCACATCGCAAAATAACAAAAAAAAAAACAATGCCGTAAACTTTGCCTCCATCTGACAAGTTCGCAGTCCCGCTATTTTGCAGAATGTTTTTGTACAGTCCATTTTGGTCTCACACTCAACTCAACAGCAGAGGCCCCAGAATTGAGCCCTGTGGAACACCACATGACAGGAACACTCATTTATATACAAGAGGTATAATTCCACAATCAATCACTAGATGGCAGCACACTTAGACTTAATTTGGACAAAACAGGAAGTACCGTGTTTCAGCGTGGCCTATTGTTGCAAAGTGAATATCAATTGCTGTAATCTTGTGTTTTACGTCTGCAGCAAGTGACAGCGAAAGGTTAATTTTATGATATCCCTAAAAACTTTCAATGCGATACATAGTACCCATCAATAATGCTTATTATTTATAAACCAAATTCATCCTCTTTTGCTAGCTGTGTGGGGTGCAGTCAAAACTAGTGAGTTGGTGCCGCTCTTGAAGTGGCGAATAAATCCTATAACACGGAGGAAACAAGGTTAGTACGGTTAACGAAAGCTGACAAAATCACAAACACTAAAAAAAGCATCTTAAGTGTTTTGAAAAACTAAGTACAATTTTGTCTCAGTCAATATCAAATATGAGATTTCAGGTTCTTTTTAAATATTTTTGTATTGCTGCACAACCATGCATATGGAAGGTCAAATGGTTGCTTGAGAATTGTAGTTTCCTTTACTTTTCTTTAAAATGTTTGGTGTCCTTTTATAATAGGAATAATCTAAAACTAATACTAACACCAACAATAACTAAACTAAAACAAAGCATTTTCTTTGAGAGTGGTCCAAAAATTGTTCCCAAATGTTTCTTTGGATGTATCCGACTCGCAAACCCCCAGTGTTTCGAGGACCCCATTTTGCTCAAGACTCACGTCAAAGTACTGGCCCTCCTTGAAGGGGTTGGCGCCAAGCTGGCGTTCCTCTTGGCCCCAGTGGCCACCCATCATGCTGTTGCGCACCACCACGTCGTCCTTCACACGCGGGTTCATGTGGAAGGCAATGTCCCCAGATCTGCTCGCCAGCAAGTTGATGCTGAACCTAAAACAAACAAATCCGGTGAGTTGACGTTACAAAGCCAGCAACACGGAGAGTGACAATCAGGCCTACTCATCCATCCATTCTCTACAGTGCTAACCCCTATTTGGGTCACAGGTGAGCTGGAAAAAAATGATTGTAGCTGACATTGTGGGCTCTATTTTTTGTGACTGGAGTCAATCCTGCATGGCGCGTAGCATATTTTCAAACAGAGGCAGGTTAGACCCTGTGTTGGTAATTTCACAGATGAGCGCAGGCTGGGAGTGGTCGTAGCGGAGTTCAATCATGGCCAATTCAAGAGGCTCCTTTCATTCCTTTTAGATGTCCACTCAAGCCGCACAATGGCTTAAGCACCCATAGTGGGATTTTAGGAAATATGAATCATTGAAGCCGCCCGTTGGTCCAGTGGTTAGCGCGTCGACCTCACAGTCCAGAGGTACCGGGTTTAATTCCAGCTCCGGCCACCTTTTGTGGAGTTTGCATGTTCTCGCAGATGCGCCGTGTATGAATGGTAACAGTGGATACACAGCTTAAGTGCAACTTCTGCCCTCTTGTGGAAGAGAATTTCATTGTTCTACCTGTCATCATACGCCGCTGACGAAGACACATCATTTGTGTCAAATTAATCATTTTTTATTGATGTCCTGCGACATAGCTAATGCAACACAGTTGTTGGATATGATTGGCTAGAACTGCAATTGCACCTGTTTGCCCGGTTAGGCACCATGCCCCGGATGATGACAGTTCTCTTGGGGAACATTCCTCCTGGGATCACGCCCGAGTACGGGATGGGCTGCGGGTGCACAGAAAAGATGACATCACATGGTGGACTGCAAGCAAACTAGCAAGACTACCATTTATTTTGAAACTTCACTGGTGACTTTTTTTTTTTTTTTGAGGAGCTAAACTGGAAGAAGGTTTGTTATCTTTTGAAGTGCGCAAATCAAGGTGGATTTTGAAGAAAGATGATTGTATGATGACCGTCGTGGGTATGTTTAAGTAAAATGATCATTCAAGTGTCATACATTATTGAGCCTTTGTTGTTGTTTTTATTAATTTATTTTACTGTAGACATGCATGTTATGATTTTTATTTTTTTTAAATAATTGGTGAATAAATTATGACCACATTCATTAAAAATGACCGACAATATAGTATTTTTTTTATTACAGGAATTATTTTCTTAAATAAAAAAAAATGATTGCATCGCTTTAGCACGTTAGTAAAATATGTATATTATATTTCTAATTAATTAACATGTTAAATTATTTAAATGATTAAATGACATATTTGAAAACAAACCTAACAATTTTACATATACTGTACATCTTAAAATAATTTAAACATTAGGAAAATTATCAAATTAAGGCCAGAAAAAAATATAACAAATAAAGAGTTAATTTAGCGTTTTTAAGGTCTGTTTTTTTTTCACCCTTCTGGGTGGGGGGGGGGGGCACAAATGTCATAGTTAAAAATCCCAATATGGATGCATCAGAATGCCAAAGAAAAAGGAAGACGACAAGATGAACTCGATAAGAAGAAGAAACGAGTTGAAGGCCTTCGACTCTTGACTGAAGAATTAACTGATTGTGCCTCAATAATAATTAGAAGTCAGCTTGTTTGAAGGACATCCAACTGGGAAATCGAGGTCAAAACACAAGATACAGCCATGTCAACAGTCAGGACTGCAGGCTTACTTTTGTCCACAATTGGTACTTACAGGGTTGTAGATCGGTTGGCCACTCATACTCTGCAGGAAAATTCACACAAGACATGGGATCAAACATCAAATAATAATAATCATCATCATAATAATGTGACATATGTACTCATGCATCCTCACCGGAAGGTGTGACCCTGGGAATCCACCCTGACAGAAAAAAAGGACAGAATTTGGTGAGAATGTGTACCTAATTAAGTGGCCAGTGCATGGAAGTATGCATGTATACATGTATGTGCATCTAGCAATCGAATAATTGAAAAATAATCAAGCAGTTGCCTACCCCCGTATTGCCTCCCATGCCT